AGGTTTTCTGAAAAATAAACCTGACAATTCATACAAGAATTCCTACTTTTAAAAATGAAAAGGCAGTAGCATTTTCCAAGTCATGGTTCCCAGATTAGAAATTTAATTCTTACTTTTTTGGATTTGTAGGAAGAGACTTTAAGAATTCTTACATCTGTTATCTGTAGCATAGAAAGTCATTCTTTACTTTGAGCACAACTTTTGGCAAGCTTTTCCTGTAAATGTTTGAATGCATGCTCAAGAAAGCTACAAAACCTTAAGGGAGTATTTGGCAGCTGTGCAAAAGCAGTTGAAGCTGTAATTTTGTGGTTTATGATATCAGGAAAGCCTATCAATTAAATTAACTCTTTATTTTGACTTTGGAGGTCACCACATTTCTGTATGGCCTACTACGTGTAAGAAGAAAACTATAGACTTAACCAAGAGAGAAGCTAAATCTGATCCTACCTACCCCTAGCTGTTGTTTTTGTTTGTTTTCTTGTTCATTTGTTTATTTATTTATTCATTCAACAAATATATATATGGCATGCACTATCCCAAATAAATATTTGAGCATAGCCTGGAGCAAGAGGGATTCAGATCTTCTTCCTATAATCTTTATTGGCTACAGTAGATGTGTCAGATGAGTTTTTAGTCCTAAATCACCAGAGGATCTCCTCCTGTTATAATGAAAGCAGTTTTAATTTGAAGATATGACTATGAAAAGGTCCTGCCATGGCCTTTCCTTACACAGCTATTCCCATGATTAGGAATAACAATTTTCCTCTAACAAATTCAGGTATTTGTGTGTTTTACCTAACTGTGTGTCTTATTCTATCCAAATATACATAGTAGTTTAATTCTTTTCAGCATATATAAAAATAATTATGTAAAGCTACCTTAGTTATTTCTAGGTCTCATATTCAGTGATATGAAATACAAAGACATTTTCACTAACCTGATAATAGTAACCTTCATGGTTTTTGCTTTTTATATCTATTATCAGTCACCATTTATGGCCCCAAATAGTATATTTCTCTGTGTTTGGTACTCATATGTTTACAGTCATAGCAATATAGCACCAGTCCTTGAGTCATTTACAATCTAGAGATCCAAACAAAATAGAGAAACTAGTAATGTGTACCAGTTTATAATGTAGCATTTGTATACAGCAGTCCAAGACTTTCGTTTTCATTTCTTCCCCCTTCACTAAAGACTTTCTAGAGGAAAAGTGACATTTTAATGGCATTTATAGGATGAAAACAGTACTTTTTATGGAATGATAAAGGAAGGTTCTTTAAGATAGTATTTATGTGCAAACTTAAAGTAAGGGAGTGTCTCCATTACCTATTGCTATATAGCAAACCACCCTAGTACTTACTGTTTAAGAGGCTTAAAACATGGGCTGTGGGTTAGCAATTTTTTTTTTTTTTTTTAATAAAAGGCCAGGTAATAGGGTGCCTGGGTGGCTCAGTGGGGTAAGCCTCTGCCTTTGGCTTAGGTCATGGTCTCAGAGTCCTGGGATCGAGCCCTGCATCGGGCTCTCTGCTCAGCAGGGAGTCTGCTTCTCTCCCTCCCGCCCCCCCACCCCCCACCCCCCACCCCCCACCCCCCACCCCCCGCCTCTCTGCCTACTTGTGATCTCTCTGTCAAATAAATAAAATAAAATCTTTAAAAAAAAAAAAAAAAAGGCCAGGTAATAAATAGTAGAGGCATTTTTTAGGCCATACCATTTCTGTCAGTTACTCATTCATCTCTGCGGCTGTAGTGCAAAAATAGACACGGACAGTGCTTAAATGGATGAGCACTATTGTGTTCCAATAAAATTTTATTTTACAAAAACAGGTGGCAGATTGGATTTGACCTAAGCACTAAAGTTTTTTGACTCTTTCTTTTTTTAAAAAATATTTATTTATTTGAGAGAGAGAGAGACTGCACAGGCAGGTAGAGGGAGAACCAAGCTCCCTGCTGAGCAAGGAGCGCGATGTGAGGACTTGATCCCAGCGTCCTGGGATCAAGGACCTTGATCCCAGGACGCTGGGATCATGACCTGAGTCGAAGGCAGCCACTTAACTGAGTCACCCAGGTGTTCCAAGTTTGTTGACTCTTGATTTAAAACAACAAAACTATTGGGGCGCCTGGGTGGCTCAGTGGGTTAAGCCTCTGCCTTCGGCTCGGGTCATGATCCCAGGGTCCTGGGATAGAGCCCCCACATCAGGCTCTCTGCTCAGCAGGGAGCCTGCTTCCTCCTCTCTCTCTACCTGCCTCTCTGCCTACTTGTGACCTCTGTCTGTCAGATAAATAAATAAAATCTTTAAGGAAAAAAAAAAAAACAAAAAACTATTAACTTGGCTTACAAATCTGCAATTTGGTTAGGGTTTAGCAAGGTAACCCCTCTGCTCTACTGAGTATCAGTTAAGAGTGGCTCAAAGGATAGAGACTGGAGTCATCTGAAGGTTCACTCACTCATAGGTATATCTCCAGGGCTAGGAACATCATTAGGGAATCCTGTCTCTGTGTGATCTAGAGACCATGTAGTCTCTAGCTTGGTAGCTTCAGGTTAGTTACGTTTCTTACATGTTGGCTCAGAGCTCCCAGTGTCTGTGACCAGAGAGACAGAGATGGAAGTTGTATTGCCTTTACAGCCTGAAAAGTCACTCATTTGTTACTTGTTACCTTCATTACATTTTACTTGACTAGACCAGGAGTGGACAAACTAGCCCTTAGGCCAAATCCAACTGGCTACCTATTTATAAATAAAGTTTTGTTGGAACAAAGTCATGCCCATTCCTTTATGTATTGTCAGTGGCTGCTTTTACACTACAGTGGTAGTGCTGAGTAGCTGTGACTAACATTTTAAGGCCTGCAGAGACTAAAACATTTATTAGCTGGCTTTTTACAGAACAAGTTTCCCAGTCCTGGGTGTAGGCACTTTCAGTGAGCCATCCATGGTCTTAATGCTATTGTATACATTGCTGCTTCAAACATTGGGGTGCGCATGCCCCTTTAGATCACTACATTTGTATCTTTGGCGTAAATTCCCAGTAGTGCAATTGCTGGGTCATAGGATAGCTCTATTTTCAACTTTCTGAAGAACCTCCATACTGTTTTCTAGAGTGGCTGCACCAGCTTGCATCCCCACCAACGGTGTAGGATAACCTCCCCCCATCTTGCATTCTGTTCCCACCCACAGAAAACATGTGTCACTTCCTCAGACCTTCATGTTCTGTCTTGTGGGCTTCTGCACATGTATCCTCTCTGCCTTCTCTTCATCTCACTAACACCTATACTCATCTTCAGGTTTTCACTTAGACTTTTATTTTTTTCTGGTAGCTCCTTCTTTTTTAATTGATGTCATCCTGTGATGTTTTTCCCATGGCAGTCTGCATTTACGCTATCATAGTACTTCCCATACTTTATTTACAGTTCATGATTTTTTTAGTCATCTGCTGTCCTTACTGGACTGGAAGCTCCATAGGAGCAGGAACATGTCTGTCTGTCTTTCTAACCTGTACCACCATCATAAGGTCTGGCTCATAAAGACACTTAATAAGTGTTTGTTGACAGTTTGAATGAAAGACTTGTCACTTTAAGGTGAATTGCATTTTCTTAGTAACATGGGGAGAACAACTAAATTTCACATCAGATTCATTGTTAAGTCTGAACAAGAAAAATGTAATAACTGTGGTAAAATTATTTCTATGCAGAAAGCATATTGCAGTATAAAAATAGAAATATAAAAATTAATAATGATCATTATGTTAGTATAGTTAAATTACAAGTTTTTTTCCTATAGGATATTTCAGATTTTCTATAATTTTTTTTATTTCTTTTATTTAAAATGTTTTAAAAAATGAATTCAAATTGCATCTTAAGAATCTTAAAGATAGCATCTTCAGCTCCTCAGGTTATTTTGTTCCCAAGTTTGACTGAATCCTGGGTCATTACCAAGACCTAAAGCATAATACCTACTGGAGCCAATCTAAAATATCTTTGTTTATACTCTTCTTCTTCAGTAAATCAAAAAATCATTCCATTTTTAAAGTTTCTCTTTCTAAGATTAAGTTTCATATTGTTCAAAATAGTGAAAATGAGGGGCACTTGGGTGGCTCAGTTGTTAAGCGTCTGCCTTCAGCTCCGTCCTGGGATCGAGCCCTGCATCAGGCTCCCTGCTTGGTGGGAAGCCTGTTTCTTCCTTTTCCCACTCCCGCTGCTTGTGTTCCTCTCTCGCTGTCTCTACCTCTCTGACAAATAAATAAAATCTTCAAAAAAAAAAAAAAAGTGAAAATGATACTCTTGGTTTTTTTTCTTCTTTTTTTTCAATTTATCAAATGAGCCTTCATGTACTTCCACATTTCTCTGAAATATTAACATCGTTGCTCAAAAAATGGTACTTATATTTAAGTATTTGTAAGGTGTCTTGGAATATTTTGCCTTCAAGTCATTGATAAAGTCAGGCTCAGAGAAATCACATGCGGTGCTGAAGGTCCCAGGCTTGAGTAGAGGTTTCCTGGGAACAAGTCAAAAATCTTTCCATTCTTAGACCTCCTGAATGTAATACACAGTAAAGATGGTTCTCCTTGTATATATTTCTTTTAAAAAATAGTTTTATCAGGGGCGCCTGGGTGGCTCAGTGGGTTAAAGCCTCTGCCTTCGGCTCAGGTCATGATCCCAGAGTCCTGGGATCGAGCCCCGCATCGGGCTCTCTGTTCGGCAGGGAGCCTGCTTCCTCCTCTCTCTCTCTGCCTGCCTCTCTGCGTACTTGTGATCTCTGTCTGTCAAATAAATAAATAAAATCTTTAAAAAAAAAAATAGTTTTATCAGTGTGTCAATGAGGAACTTAAAATGTATTTCTAACTTAAGGCTGCTGCTAATAATATTAAATATGGATAAAACCTCTGTGTCCTTTGGAGTCCTGTTGTGTTAAAAACAACAAACATAAAAAAAAAACAACACATTTTTTTCTAGTTTGAAGTTACTTATGTACTGCATTCTGATCCTTTTCCCCCTTTCCTCCACAGTTGTGCATGCCTAAAGGGCTATCTTTCAGAACTCAGACTGACAATAAAGACCCTCAGTTCCACTCATTTATAATTACCCGGGAAGATGGCTCTCGTACCTATGGTTTTGTTCTGACCTTTTACGAAGAAGTTACCAGTAAGCAGATCTGCACAGCCATGCAGACGCTCTACCAGATGCACAACGCCGAGCATTACAGCAGTGTGTACGCTTCGTCCTCCTGCAGCATGGATTCGCTGGCCAGCAGTATTGATGAGGGAGACACCACTTCCCTTTTGAAACTCCAGCGGTACAACTCCTATGACATCAGCAGAGACACGCTGTATGTTTCAAAAAGTATATGCTTGATCACACCACTGCCTTTCATGCAGGCCTGCAAGAAGTTCCTCATCCAGCTTTATAAAGCAGTAACCTCCCAGCAGCCGCCGCCCTTGCCACTTGAGAGCTACATCCATAACATTCTCTACGAGGTACCCCTTCCACCTCCAGGGAGATCACTGAAATTTTATGGTGTTTATGAACCCGTCATCTGCCAGAGACCTGGACCCAGTGAACTCCCCCTTTCTGATTACCCTCTTCGAGAGGCCTTCGAGCTTCTGGGATTGGAGAACCTGGTGCAGGTGTTTACCTGTGTTCTTTTAGAGATGCAGATCCTTCTCTACTCACAAGGTAGGTCTTTCCTGGATTTTAAGTCTCCCCCAGAAAAGTGCATATGAATCCCAACTATTGCATTTCCATGGGGTATATTACTAGAACCAAATAATTAATGGTCAGAGGTCTTCTATTTTGTGTAAAAGGAGCACCTGTTTTAGGTGGGACCAGAGGCTAAGATATTACTTCTCTTTGAGGTGTCAGTGGCTGTGAAGAAAAACAGGAAAGCATACAAAAGCCTGAATCTGGCTGATTCGAGTATATTTATTTTTTAATGAAAATAGGCCCTTTTTTCCAGGTAGTACATAATCATAATAAAAGAAACATACTTGTTTTCATAATGGAAGTGAGAGAATGATGTTAGTACCAAGAACATGTAGCTGTCTTATTTTTTGCAGATGAGTAAAGGTTCCCATCAAAACTCAGTTGACATTGGAAAGGTATAAATGAAATTGTTGACTCTGAAGCTTCCTAAGGCAATCAACTTTGGACCTTTGCCTGTGGGAGATATCACTAGTTGTGGCTCTCTTGAGTCTAACAGTTCTAGTAGAGTTATGTGGGGTCTTTTTGTTTCCAAAAGGAAGTTATCTTTGTGATGTTTTTCATTCAACGTTCTCCCAGCACATACTTAAGAAACTTAACAGAATTTGGGTTTTATTTGATGAATGCATTTATGATGGCTAATGTTGAGCTTAAACTTAGAGCACTGGCTCCAACCTGAACATGATTTTGCAGAGAAAATAGAGATGCTCTGTCTTAACAGATAGCGAGTTGAAGGAAAATATAAAATGGTTGCTGCACATCGATGGGTTCTTTGAAAAATGTGGCACAAATATTTGGGTTAGCGTTTTGCTAACTTGTATTTAGGCTAGCAGAATTGTAGTGCAGTCTCCTGATGGCTGCCATCAAGCTTATTTTACCACTTTCCTTTTTTTCTTTTCTGTTTTAAATTAGAAGTGAGGCTGAGCCAAGTAGGCTATATTTGTACTTCCCCATCTTGTGTGTATGTTGACACTATTTGTGTGTTGACAGCCCTTCACGAGGTTGTATTTTCTTCAGTTTATCCTACGAAATGTTCTTTGATAATGTGTTCTGATGTCTCTATTTTTGTTGTCAGGAAGTTCTCTAATGATCAATTGAAATTCTCTCTTTTCCTCTCGCTCTTACTCTCTTAGGGTTTATCATTACCTGCAGGTCACTCGTTTGTATTTAAAACGTGTAACTTAGTAATTCTCTCTTCCTTTCTGTTTCTTTCTTTCTTGCTTTTTTCCCTGAAAACAGCGTACGGGGTAGGGGGTTAGAGAGTTGCTGGAAGGGGACAGGGCTTGGAACTAGATAGCCTCAGGTGTATTAACCTATGAGAAAAAATAATTTCAGTCCTAGATTAACAAGGGATCTTCAAGTCATTTGGTTCAGTTTTAGCTCTGCCTAGAGAAGCAGTTTGGACCAGAAAGAATATTGGTTTTTAAGTCATAACAATCCTAGATTCAGATCTCTGTCGCATTACTAACTGTAACCATAAACAAGTTATGTAATCTTCCTGAGTGTCAGTTAATTCATCTTTATGGGGATAACAGGATTTTTTCCTTCTCTCTCACTGATTTATTGTGAAGGTTAACTAAGAAAACTACAGACTACTTTGGGTATAATTGGCACTAAATGATAGCTGATTTATTGTAATTATTATTCATTTTATTAGTCCTACACAATCCTCTATAAATTATGTATATTTTAAGTTGCATGGGTCCACCATATTACTGCATTTAAAGTATAGCTTTGTTAGATTAAATAATCAAGGCATCTGTTACAGGGTTGAGAGCCTAATAAATGTTCTTTTATACTGAATGTTAGGGCTTTTTTTTTCTTAGCAAAAAAACCCCTTTCATTGTCACACTTTCTCTTTTGAAAAGCACTGTATGTCTCACTGCATGTGGTCTGTCCTGAGCTCTCATCTTTCTGCTGTTTGATTAGCTTATCCCAGGCGGTTCATGGAAGCTGTTGAAAAGTTATAGTTGATTAATATCTGCCAGTTTAATTCAATTTCAAATGAAGAAGCATGAACATGTTTTTGTACTAAATGAGGTGTTTTTTGTGGGGTTTTGTGGGATTTTTTGGTAATTTGGTTTTATCCCGAGAACAACAGATGAATCCTGAAGTTATAGAACTCTCTCTCTCTCTCTCTCTGCGTGTGCGTGCACACGCACACACACACACACACACACACACACACATACACATTTACACACACATTTTAAGTGTCCTACAAAAGAAAGCTTCATATGGTAATTTTATAACCATTCACTGAAATCACTCTGTGTTAGGAATTGGCTATGCTTCTCTCTTCAACAATGAGTTACTGCTCTTATCTGTATTTTATTAAAAGGAAGTTGAGGCTCAGGGAAGCCAAATAACCTTCCTGAGAGCACATAGGTATTAGGTAGTGTTGTAGAGTTAAGAATGGGGCTTGGATCTATCTTTCTCCAGAGCACTTAATCGCCATGTTAACTGTATTGGGCGCTGCACTTCACCTTTCCTTATCTGTCTCAATATTTCTTTTTAAATTATTAACTCACTCTACCAATCTGTTACAAAGGGTTCATGCTAAATAACTATAGAGTATAAAATGAAAGCTCTATATAAATGCAGATTTTAATACTGGCAATGTCTTTCCCATTAGAGAAAAAAGTTTCATTTAAATGAAGGAAATAAGAGTCATTATGTTGATTTGTATCTGGTGCCCTCCTTCATTCTTACCATGTTAAGGGGGTTTTAATAACACCCAATACTCCTGTTCTTATTCACTAATACAGCTATGCCATAAAATTTTAAAACATTGCAAGTGCTAAACAATTACCGTGAAAACCCAAAGTGAATCAGAATAGAAGGGTTTTAGTGATGAAAACTGCCCTTCTAGACTGATTTGAAATTCTGGTCCATAGCCCATTTAAACAGATTCAATCTGCTATTTAGAGAGTGTGTATATCACACTCACTTTGTGGTGGTAACTAGCTAGAGATTTTAAGTAGAGAATGCACCGAGGAGATAGAGGCTCTTTTCCAGGACCCCAAATCAGAAAAGATCACTTTCTTCTGCACCCTGGAAGTACATGGAACAGGATGGGGGAAGTTTAGAGTATGATCTTCTTTTCAAAGGAATAGTGACAGAATTAAAGGGGAACTTAAATATGAGTGACTAATTTTTGATACCAATAATTAAAGTCTCAAGAACTATTTTGGGACCTTGCTTACCTTCTTTGACTCCACAGCTCACACTAGACTGCCATGTCAGCCTGTGTGCCTTCACAGTGCCCCTCTCCCCTCCTTTCTTCCCTTCCCTCTAGTAAGTTGTGCATCAGTTAACCTTGTCAGAAGGTAGAAGCCACTTAAAGCTTTCTTAAAAAGGTTGGGAGTCTCCTAATCACAGACTGCTGCTTGTGCTCAACTGAGCACCATAGCTTGTTGGTTATAGGGTTTTTAAATCATAAAAGCTAACTTGGGTATTTTGATGGAAGAAAGTGGGTTCCCATGACCTATACCTAAAAGCAGTAGAATTTAACTAACTTTGGCCAGTGTCTTTATATTAGCTTTATTTTGGGATAAATAGAATTTTAATATTAGGACTTTTTCTTATTGATGTTTTGTTTCATATTCAAGAAATTAATCCTTTGTCAGTTACATGTGTAACACATATCTTCATCTAATTTGTGGCTAATTTTAGTGATCTTTGATGAATTAAGATACTCTTAATATTCATGAATTTGTGGGGCACCTGGGTGGCTCAGTGGGTTAAAGCCTCTGCCTTTGGCTGAGGTCATGATCTCAGGTGCTGGGATCAAGCCCCCGCATGGGGCTCTCTGCTCAGCAGGGAGCCTGCTTCCTCCTCTCTCTCTGCCTGCTTGTGATCTCTCTCTCTCTCTGTGTCAAATAAGTAAATAAATAAATAAAATCTTAAAAAAAATTCATGAATTTGAATTCATCGGTCTTTTAACTTACAACTTAACTTTCTGTTTCAGAAATTCTCTATTCAGAGATCATAAAAATAGACATTTTTTTCTTAATGTTTTAAAGTTTTATTTAGCATTTAAGGCCTTAGTCTTAAGAAATTGATTTTTTTAAATCTATTTTTCCTTGTTGTAAGGAAGAGATCAAATTTAATATTTTAGAAATATCTCCAACTAGTTATCCTAGTCATTGGATAGACCTCTTTTTTCTTCTTCTGAGCAGGAGTATCATTAATGTCATATAGAAGTTCCTGTATGTGAGGGTATATTTCTGGTGTACTTCAGTTTATTCTGCCAGTCTTTTTGTCCCTCTACTAAATTACTGTAGCTTTAAAGTAAGTCTTGGCATCTGGTAGGATGGTTCCCTCATTACCTTATTTTTTTACCCAAGAAATAGACTATTTTATTCAATATACATTTTTCATATATCTATATGTACAATACAAAATAATGACATCATTTTAGCACTTAGCTGAAAGAGAGCCTTAAGAATCATTAATCCTGGGGCGCCTGGGTGGCTCAGTGGGTTAAAGCCTCTGCTTTCGGCTCAGGTCATGATCCCAGGGTCCTGGGATCGAGCCCCGCATCAGGCTCTGCTCAGCAGGGAGCCTGCTTCCTCCTCTCTCTCTGCCTGCCTCTCTGCCTACTTGTGATCTCTGTCTGTCAAATAAATAAAATCTTTAAAAAAAAAAAAAAGAATCATTAATCCTTCAAAGCCATACCATCATAAGAACTTTATAACATAGGTAATGCTGTGCTACAGATAATAACCACTACCTTCTTTTTATTGGAATTGTGTCAAATCTAATATGAGGACAATGACATATTTAAAATATTGACTTTTCCCTTCCATGAAAATGCTGTATCTCTCTGTTTCTAAGGGTCTTATTTAATGTCTCTCAGTAAAGTTTTACAATAGTAGATAATTACAAATAATGACAGTTTTGTTTCTTCTATTCCAATATTTCTCACCTTTATTTCTTTTTCTTGCCTTACTATACTAGGCTCTCCAGTACAA